GTTGAATTGGAGCTTCTGGAGTTGCTTCTCTGGGGCTTCTCCCTGCCCTCCCCGGGTTTCTCTTCCCTTTGGCCGGGGGTCGGAGCGGGCGATGGGGAGCGTGTGGCTGAGTGACTGTTAGCACAAACCCCCCCGTCCAGCCTGGCCACCCCAGGGCTCCACCAGCTGCCACCTTGGGCTAAAGGACCCGAAACGCTTGTTTAAACTAAAAATAAACCACAACAGGTTGGTTTGGTTTGTTTTTCAGTTTGTTTTTTTTTTTTAAATAATTCCTTATCTGCCGGAGGGGTGGGATCTGGGGGCTGGAAGGTCCATCCAGGGGGGCACGGGACCCTCCTGGGCTCCTTGCTGCAGGGACGGCCACCTCCATGGTCCCTGTGTCACAGCCCGGGTAGAGCTGAATCCCGGGCCATGAGGGATGTGAGGTGGCACCTTCCCAGCCCCCCGAGACCAGGGGATCCCTTCAATCCACTGGTCCAAACTGTGGCCGTGGGCAGGTCGGGGATGGGCTGTTGGTGTGTTTGGAGCTGGGTTTGAGGTTCTCAGTTCCCAGATTTTCAGCGTCGCTCCCGCACCCGCTTTGCTCTGCCGAAAAATCCCATCCTTCCCTCTCCCTGCCCCGAGAGCCCCGTGTCCCTGGGGATCTGCCGCAGGTTTTGGGGGGTGGCCGCCCCGGGGCCGGGCTGGAGAAGCCGGAGTTGGGGGCTGGCTCGATGCCTTCCATAGGATCCAGCGCCCCTGGCCCGGTGGCCGGTCGGTGACGTCTCTCTGAATAGCAATAAGAACCATCGCTGGTCCCGGGGCTGGGGGCCGAGGCCGTGGCCGCGTTGGGGGGGCCCTCACCGAGCCTGGGGGGGGGAAAAATCCCCTTGGAGCTTCCCGTGGCCTTTCCTCGGAACCGGGAAGGGGTGGCGAAGCGGGGGGTGCCCACCTGGGGTCATTAATTTAGTGCAATGACATAGGGGAGCCTTCTTTTTTTTTTTTTTTTTCTCTCATGATGCCTACTGCCCTTAAATGTTGAAACCGGGTCTTTGTAAGCAATGTCTGTGTATCTATGTGTATATATGAGGGACGGATTTTAAATTACTGCCTTTTTTCCCTGTTTATTTTTCTGAGTAATTCCAGATGTACTTTAGTCTCTCTACTGTCAAAACTTTTATATTGTAAATCTGATGCTGGTGGCTTTTTGGTTATTTTGGTTTTTGTTTTTTGTAAAAAAGGAGACAAAAAAAAAGGAAAAAAAAAAAAGAAAAAAGGAAAAGAAAAAAAAAAGTCTGCATCTCTCTATGTTGTCAGTTTTAGGCTGTAAATTCCAACTATCAATAAAAGCTCAAAATTCACGTGCCAGTGGTGGATTCCTCCATCCCACAGGATCTGCCGTGTCCCAAGGGCTTCGCTCTCGGGCTTGGCCCGACCCCCCCGGCGCGGGCAGGGGCTGAGCAGGGGCAGGGGCAGCGTTTTGGGGTGGAACCTGCTCCTTTCTTCTGCCCTGCAGCCGGGAGGGAGGCTGGACCCGCGGCACGAGGAGCTCGGTGCCTCCTGCACCCCCCGGCCAGAGCAGAGGTTGGGGGGTCACTGGTCTCAGGTCACCTCTTGGTATCGGAGGGAAGGAGAAAGAGAGTTTTTCTGGGGCACTCTGGCCCCGCGGGGGGGGCCTGGGCCATTGGCAGCTTTGCCAGACGTTGGCCTCTTCTGTTGAATTGTGGCAGCTGCGCTCTAAGAAAATCTTAGTCCCGTGGCTTCTGTGCCAAAATCCTCGAGTCTTCGCCCTGAAGGCACAGGGGGGGCCGTGGCTCTGAGGGGGGGCTGGGGTGGCTCCTCCAGCTGCAGGGGGGGTCCTGAAGGCACCACCCCATGGCATCGCGCAGCTCGGGCCGTGGAGATGATGCCGAAGCTCTGGAGGCTCCGCTCCTGCCCTGGGGGGGCTCGGGGGGTCCCGGGGGGGGTGGCTCCAGCCTGGAGCAGGTTTGGAGTCGCTGGTCCTCTATTCAATGAGCATTTCAGTTGGCTGTTGATGGCGACCAGTGGCAGGTTTGGTACCAGCTGCCTCCTGTCCTTGTCCCTCAGTGTCCCCAGCACCGGCCGGGGACGGGGAGCGTTGCAAACTGGCACCGTTGGGTTTGGGGTTTCTTTCCAGTTTTCCTTTATCGCCTGTTTCTGTCCCCGGCTGCGGAGCTGGGTGGGCTTGGGCTGTGCCCCCCCCGGTAGCTCCAGGCAGGGCCTGGCCCTGGTCCATCCTGCTGCTGTGGGGCTCTGGGACCAGGCGCTCACTGGGAGCCCCGGGGGCACCCCCTTTTCCCAGGGAAGAGGTTCTGCTGCCCAGTGCCCCAGCGGGGACCGACCCAGCCTTGGTGACACCGGGCTCATCAAACCAGGGTCCCCGGGAGAGGAGTAAAACTTGCCAGAAGGGGGGAAGGAGATGCAGGACCCAGTGCAGCCCCCGCACGGGGATGTCCCCAGAGCTGCACCAGTGTCACCCCACGAGGCTCCGTCCCGCGAAGCTGGGGACACCCCCGTCCCCCAGGAGAGGGGCCAAGCCCAGGTCTGGTGGTTCCTGAGCACCAGCCCCGGGCACTGGGGACAGGGGGGACACAGCTGATGTCGGTGACAGTGAAACAAAAGGGCACGTGTCATATTAATTTTTTTATTAAATTCAGTTAGTTTTTCTCTTTATATAATAACCTTTTTCCTCTAGGCACAATACAATACAAGGACTCTGTATGTTTGACACAATGTACAGAAACTTCAATAATCTACAACTGCTCAGGTAAGTTACAAAACCCTCCGTGACACCAGGCCCTGCCACAGCCATTATTGTACACG